GGTGGGAGCCAGCGAGGCTGATTTTAACCGTTCTCCTGCGCAGCCCCTGCCCCTTGCCGGGACAATCCGCCGGTAAAGGATCAAACACCCGCGGCAGAGGGATCCGGGATGCCCGGCCCGGCCTCCCGCGCCCTCCCCGCTTTATTTCCGCCTTCATCCCCATCACTCAGCTCGTTTCTCATGCAGCTGCTCCCACTCCCCGTGCAGAGCATCCCGGCCTCGCCTCAGCCCCTGAGCAAACGCATCAGGCAGGGAGAGCAGCTCAGCGGGGCCGGGAGATGTTTCAGGGCTGCAGCAGAGCGCTCACTGGGCTTCTTAACAGCAGTTAAGACCCAGAGAAGTTCACAGCTGGACGCTGATGGGGATAAGGGTCATAAAACCCACACCCTTTCCTGCACGGACTTGGCAAACGGGCTTTTCTGCAGAGCCCCGCTGGGCGCGGCAGCTGCCCCGGGCTCTGCCGGCTCCTCGGGGGGCTGCGGGGGGTCCGGCAGCCTGCCAGGCTGTGCCGGTGCTCCCAGGCTGTGCCGGTGCTCCCAGGGCCCAGTTCAGCCCGAGGCAGCAGCTCCCAACCCAGAGGGGCAGCTCTGAACGGCAGCTTTGGTTCCATCCCCCCGACAGACCTGAGCTTAAACGTGGGGCGCTGCTCGGGGCAGGTATTTGGGGTCTCAGAATTCTCCGTTTCCCCCGTTAACCTCTGCTGTACTTGCCCCTTCTGATGGGAAAGAATTCACCTGTTTCCCAAACAACCAACCTCCCGCTGGCTGCGGGACCCACAGACACCTGCCCTCAGGTGGCACCGCCGGGAAATCCCGCTGGGAAATCCCGCTGGGAAGGGGCTGCTCCTCCCCCCAGCGCTTAGGAACAGTTTGGGACCAACCTCTTTCCAACGGGAAAGAAAAAAAAAAAAGCATTTTCTGCCCAGGCTGCTCCCAAAACAGCGGGAACACGCGAGGCTGAGGTGACCCTGCCTGAACCAACACCCCACCGACTCACACTCCCCTCCCCACGCCTGAGCCAGGAGCACCAAAAACATTGGGCACATTTAGCCTGATTTAGCTGGGACACTCTGAAGAATCTCCAGGGGGGAGGTCTGGGGAGGGTCCCTGTCACCCCTGAGCCCCAGGTGACCCCAAAAGCACTTGGGCTGTTTGATCCAGCCCTCCCCCCACTTGCTCCTCACACCTACAGATGTGGCTCAAAGGGCAAGGATTTGTCCTTTGGATGTTTCACAACGTCCTGAATCGATAAACCCCCATGGGGTCAGTTAGAGGTGACCCAACCAGCCCCAGGCACCAGCAGCCCCCAGGAGAAATCAGTCGTGCCCTGTAGCTGATGCCAAAGGGGTTGGACTGGATGGATCCAGGGCCACCTTCTCCATCCCCCAGGGCTGGATCTGCTGCCCAGGGACCTCCCTCAGCTCTGGCCTCATGTCACAGGGACCAGGGCAGAGCATCCCTGCACCTCGGGACATGTTTGCAAGGTGGAGCCTCATAAATCCCAGTTGTGAGGCTGCAGGGGAGGGATCCAGCCCTGGTGAGGGAACAGCATGAACCAGGGAACAAACCCTCAGGTTCAGAGCAAACCCAGAGCCAGCCCTGACTTCCCCCCTGGCCCCAGCTGGGCTGATTGATTTTTCTGCTGCCAGCTCCTCACCATGACACTGGGCTGGACTTTGTCATGGGTCTGGCAGGTTGGGGACAGCACAGTGCTCCAGGAAAGCCAGGCACAGCATCCTGGAGGGGGTTGGAACCATCTGGATGAGCATCCCACTGCTGGCAGTTCATCCACACTGTGTGGGGAAAAAAATCTCCCAAGCCCTGGAGCCCTGTCAGCCTCTGGCAGGCAATATTCCTGATGAGCTCTTCCAATAGCAAGGACTGGGTCTGGGGTCACCTCTGGGATATGGATATCTCACCAGGATAAGGGTCTTTCCCACAGCCCTGCCCCTGGGCACTGCAGGATACCAGTACAACTCGCTCCAGCAACAAAACCCTGTGACAAAGAAGATCCAGAGCAACGTGTTAAGGCTGGATTTGCCAAATCATTGTTCCTAGAAGGGACTGATTGTCCCCAAAGTCAGGCAAAGTGCAGGCAGCAGTGACACAGCCCCCTCCCACCATCCATCCCCCCTTCCCTGAGCCCCAGCACTTGCAGCCTCATCCTGCAGATCCCAGCAGGTCTCAGCCAGGAACTGGCTCTGGATGCTCAGGATGTGCTGTCACATCCCCCAGGACCTGCTGCAGGGAGACCTCACCAGCAGGTGGGGACTTCCTCCTTCCTGAGCATGAAAGCAGAGTGGATAGAACTGAGCCCTGTCTGGGAATAACTTGGGGGGGGGATCCCCCTTTTCCATCCCTGGCATCGTGCTGCCTGGATCTCCTCCCACAGTGGCTCCATGGATTGTTATCTAGCCAAAAGCAAGACATGGGGAGAGATGCTCCCATGTGATGGATTCAAGGAGGCACGTG